ATGTGTTTGTTTTTGCATAAGCATAGGGTAACTGAAATTTTAAGTACTCTCTTCTGCTCCACTGCTGTTGTGTTCAGCTATTTTGAAAACTTTGTCTTGACTCCATCAGCTTGTGAATTTATTTTAGGATTTGGTACCATCTGAACAACAACGCATGTTGTTGTCTCTACATTAAAAAAAAAAATCCAGATTATTTAGACTGGAATTTAATACAACTCAAATCATGGGATAACAGTAACAAATAGTAACTAATATGAAGAAGGGACAGGGTTGGGAGAACTTAACCAACGCTCTCCCATCATTACTAATGTTTTCTAGCGAGAAATCATGAAGTAGAGATTGGAGCTTTCTGCAAAGCTGTCTCTTCCTGTCTTTTGTTTTCTGTCTATGCTTTTCTACAAAGTACTTGAAAAATTAGAATTAAGTTTGGGAAAAATGGCCCCCCAATGAGAAAGCAGCTAACTGTGAGAGGCTTGCAACTGAAGTGGTTGATTTGGGATACTTACTGCCATGGTTTTATGGTTTTTGCTTATTGGTATTCCACATTATAACATCATGTAGTACACTGGGGGTTAAAGAGTTAATGCTCCAGTTGCAGGTACCTGTCCCAGAAGAGAAGAAGAACTAGGTCTCCCAGAGGACTGTTTGCAGTTCTGTTACTTTTCCATTCTGATAGAAAAGATAAAAAGCGTGCAGATCACTTTTCCTTCCCTTTTTTCGATCATCTGGCTCGTCTCTGTTGTGGATGCCATCTCATCACAGCATTAGAGTAAGGCCTTTGGCTTTCAGACACTCTCACTTTATTTGATTTATTAGCTTCAGTTCTAATTATATTGCATTATAATGTGTTATCTTGCATTCCAATATCTTAATTAGTAAATTAGTTTGTTTCTCCTCAGATCATTGCAGCTGTTTTGTTTTTTAGGCCCATTTCTCTACCCTTTTCCCTTTTTTCCCTTTCCAGGGGTATGGGTCCATGGATGTCTCTGCCCTGCTAGTCACAAACCAGGCCGAAGCAGCCCGTAAAACGTTGACACTTAAGGATCATCTGTTAGTGGTCTGGAAGACTGTTCCAGTTTGTTTCCATTTGAGTGTTATCGTCTTCCATTACAGAAACTATGAAGCTCCAGTGTCACAAAGTTGGTGCTGGAACAGGCTGCCCAGAGAGGTTGTGGATGCCCCATCCCTAGAGGTGTTCAAGGCCAAGTTGGATGGGGCATGGGCAACCTGGGCTGGTATTAAATGTGGAGGTTGGTGGCCCTGCATATGGCAGGGTGCTTGGAGATTCATGATCTTTGAGGTCCCTTCCAACCCTGGCCATTCTGTGATTCTGTGGAGTTACCTAGATCAACCTGTGCCTGTGACGGGGGAACAGTAGACCTGTGGGTTTAAGCAATTTATAGAGTTTTTAAAGTACGTTTGTAGATGAGAAAATCTTGAACAGTTGTTAGGTTTGGTAATTTTCCCTGCTTTATGTTACATACTATTATGTCTTTACAACCAAAATGTTCATTTTTCCCGTTTACGTGTTTTTGATGCAGCAAGGATGGAGTTTCTTTCTTTCTTTCTCCTGTACAGAGTGGACACACACCAAGTGTTTTTAATTGGAATTTGCAGTTTAATAAGCCAACTATTTTAAATTCATTAGTCAAAAGTGTTTATATTAATTTAGTTAGATTTCATATGGAAATGAAATTGTTTCCTTTATAGCATCAATTTTTTTTGCCTCGGATATGTGGGATAGGCAGTACCATTGCATACCAAAGCATAATACAACTTATGTGTCTTCCACCGTGCTTTGTTTCAGTTGGTATGAGATGAGTGCCTCTGGTGCAACAAAATGCATACCAGGTGCTAAGCATCTCTGTCCCTTGAGGTGCTTTTCCTGTGCGTTGTTCCGGTGTACTCGCAGTGTTGCTGGGTGTATTGCTACTGATAATAGAAGGTAACACACGTATATTTCCCTTTAAGTTAATGAACACTATTTAGAACTGTAAGGAGTAATGCTGATACCTGATTGACTGTAGAGTAGGTGAGTACTGCAATAGTGAGAGCTCTGTGCAATGAACCTTATTTCAGTAACTGTTAAAGAAGATTGAAGTCAGCAGAATAGCACTCACCAAACCTACCACCCTGTAACGCAGCCGTTCTAACGGAGGAACTGAAGCCCAAATAAATGCCTTTGCTGTTGCAAAGAAGATGGAAGCTGGTGATATGTGAATCGTTATGGCATGTCAAGTCTCATTTTGAAGACCGTAAGTTTACCTTTTTAGAAGAAAAACAAACTACTTCACCAGTCTGGAGAGCAACATTAATAATGTATTTTTATCACCTCAAAAGACCACTAGTAGATGAACTCCAATATTTCAAATGCAACAAGCGATCTATACGCATGAATCACAATTTGTGTTCTATTACAGCCGAGCTGATATATACCACTGTGTGCTTTATGGATTTTATTCTAACAATATTAAGTAAAAACCCAAAGCTTTTTTGTGATGAATACCTAACCTTTTACAGGAATTTGTAAAAGCATGGCCCAAAGCAACAGCTTCAGCCTTGCCCTACAGGCTTTAATGAGAAAAAACCCGCAGTGGTACTTACCTTTCAATTTTACCTTTTGTAAAGGAAGCATCAGCTGAAGGTGAATGCTGCTAAGGTAGAAGAAAATGTGAAATACTGAAAGACTACTTGGAAAATGCACAGAAAAACATTTAGAAAAGAGTTAAATAAATGAGCAAATTTTGAAGAGAAGGATCTCTTGCTGCTTCTGCTTCCTTGTTAGGCCCAGTTGTTCCTGGATTCAAGGACTTCTGCAACCCAGTGTAGGTTGTTCTCACTTGCCTTATTTGTAGTCAGGTTGTTGATTCAAGATCCTCATCTCTTTGTGAGAAATCCTCACGCGGTGACATTTTTGTATAGGTTGTGGATTTTCTTTTAATACCTGTGAATTCTCATACTTTGTGTTACAGTAATGTGGGTCATGCTTGCAGTGAGTCCAAGTTCAACTTCCTTCACCTTTGCAAGTTATAATCCTCTTACTTCTCTCAGAGGAAGAAGGAGGAGGATTGTTGTCCAGTGAATTCAGTGAAAAAACTTGATAGCAATACCTCAGGTTAATTTTCAAGTGCATTTGTTGCTGTTAAGATGTTATAGCTTTCTTTTCACATAACTTTTTGTTCCTCTTCTCCCTTGCATAAAAGCAAGATTATTAGATATGCAAGAGCAAAACTCCTCAAAGCTATATTCTAAAAGTCTATTACAAAGAGTCTGCAAGCAGAACAGTGTGAACACACATCAACACCTGAGTGTTTCCCAAGTGGCTGTAGCACTCAGTGTGATAACAAGACGTGGGGGCATTTTTCTTGGCTTTCATCCTTTGTGCGTTGATTCTTCTGACTTCTTAAAAATCATTTAATCCAGTAGTACTGCATCAGGAACAACAGAAATGCAGGAGCAAGATAGTTCAAGGTGTTTGCAGTGGAATATGAAGACTTTTGTCTTCGGTCTGTCGTTTCTGCTTCTGCCCAAGTAAGAGTCAAAGATCACTACCAACTGACAGCTGTTGTTGACCATGGTGATTTAGCTCACAGTTCTTACTGAATAGATGTCTGTGATACAGAAAGCATAAGCAGAGCTGGTGCGTGTTTCGTTTTCAGGGGCTAAAAATGTGGTTGCATTTCAATTGCAGTTACCACTGCTTAGGGTTGTTAAATGAGATACCTGAATTGCAACTACAAGCTTGATGTTTGCACAGTTAATGACCACCCCCCTTCTAGCATTAAATGTGGAAGTAGCGTGTGTTTCCCTTGTGTCTCCATGAGGATGTTGTGGTGAGGAAGGTGGGAGGCTGTAGTTTGGTCTGTGCGTGACTGCGCAGAGGGATGTATTAGGAGAGCTCTGTGTGGTAATGAACTCCTCTAAACCTCACCAGCTAAGGAGGCTCTTTAGCTGTGTTGTCAGTTATTATAGTGGTGTCACACTCTTTCTTGAGTGTGAGCGATCAGTAACAGTGAGAAAGTAACAGGGGGAAAAATAAGTCTGTTTCTTTTTCTTTTGCATGAACATATGTAATACTAGAATTAATCTTTTGAAAGCCATGTATTACTTGGAGATCAGTGCTACTAAGCAGAAAATTTATCCTACTGAGAAAAAATAAAAGAATTCTTCAGTGTAATATCTGGTTTGCTGGGAAAAGAAGGGGGAAGATTTTACAGCATCACTATGGTGTATTTAGACAGGCTAGTAAATGATAGGTTTGATTCGCTGTTGTGAAAATAATAATTTTGAATTTTGGATTTACAATAGGGATTGCTCAAGCAAACAGAAATACAAGGCAAAGTTTCTACCGCTCTCAAATAATCTTTTTCTTTTCTATTGGAATGATGTAAATTAGGCTGAAAATGGGCTTACAGGGAACCAGCTTGATCTTCTGCTGGTGTGGATAGTGAAAATGGCACAGTGTGCTGATTAGTAATTCCTGTGGCTAAAGTTTGTTTCAGGGACATCTGGAGTACTCACTGACCAACTCCCTATTGGAAATTCTTTTCTTACATCATACTTTATCTGTTCAGCACTAAAACTGGTAGCATGTTGAACAAAGTTACCATGCCTTAATGATTTAGTTTACCTGTAAGGCAGAAAGTTAACATCTTCAATGTTGCGTATTTATGGTTCTGTGTTGTGCTTTTAAATTTGCATCAATTTGTATTTAAAATTGTAAATAATAATAATAATAATAATAAAAAGTAAGTTGCTTTTCCAATTAGAATAAAAATATTTATTATTGTAATTAAATTTTGATGAAAAACAGTGGAAGGAACTCGGCACTTAGATGCAGGAATTTTAGCTTTATTTTAAGGAATATTTTTCAACTAAACTTGCTTTGTTCTTTACTGCTGGAGTTAAATCAGTTTGCCTTTGGAGTCGTAAGTGAAATTTATTTCCTCTTATTAACTTAACTGAGCTTGACTGTGGCTTTCCCTGTTTTCTCACTGCAGATATTGATGAGTGTGCTGCCAAGATGCATTACTGCCATGCTAACACTGTGTGTGTTAACTTGCCTGGATCCTATCGTTGTGACTGTGTCATGGGATATGTCCGAGTGGATGATTTCTCGTGTACAGGTGAGCTCTTACGTATGTATCAGTGGTGTTATTCTCTGTATGCTGTGCATAGTAATCACTTTCTATTTAGTCTCTGGTCCTTACCAAAAGCTGTATTCTGGTTGGCCCTCTTCACAGCTAAGGTAGAAGTGGTGCGAGGTTCATTTCCTCCATGTGTTGCCCCTTGGGATTAACTGGCAAGTGACTCAGGAAGCTCTGCAATAGATGCAACTGAGTGCTATTCTATCCAGGACATGGTCCCTTCGTGTCCTACCCTTGTGTCTGAGGTGGATAGATCTGCACATCAGATCCTGTCAGGTTCCCAGCATTGATGTGCCCATTACCTCAATCCATAGTTCCTGTTTCTTCATGGGAGAATAACTTGTCCAAACCATTGGACTTGCTTAATTTTTTAGCAAGGACATGAAAAGGATTAGTGTAGTGAGAAGTAATGTTACATTAGCTGTAGTTTGAACTGGGCAGTGTGAATTGAAACAAAAAATTATCCAGGAGGAAAAGTTTTATGGTTGAAGTTGAAATAAATATGTAAGGGCGCAACTGATATTGTATTGTTGGCATGAATATCGTTAATACTGAGAAATAATACATTCAGGGCAGTGGCATCTTCTTTAGAAGAGAGATGGAGCAGTGTGGTCCTTTCTGTGACAATGATAAATCCAGTAATACCTTTTTTTAATATTAGCAAAATGAGTTGGAGTTATTTGGATCTCATTTCCAGCTACAAGGTCTTCAGGAACTTTCACTGGCAATTTTTAAGAAAATTGAGGAACTACTGAAATGCTTTGGCTGACTGTACCTAACTGGATAGCATCTTTCAACCACAATCCTCAAAAAAAAAAGGCTGATTGTGGGATTATTTTGGTGGTGCACCTGCCTGGCAAAGAATGAAAATATCAAACAGATTTACTGAAATGGAAATAAGGAAACTTGACACAATATCATGTTTAGAATTGCACTGGGTGAGCTATTCATTCAAGTGAAAAGGTGGCATAGGGCTATTCAATATGAGAATGATTTCCAGCCTGGAATAATTACATTGTAATGCATATGTATTGCAAGTCCTCTTTAGGGGAGGTTACAGGACTTGTAGACTTCTGTGATGACAGCATGTTTTGTAGCTATGCTTAGGTAGTATAAAAAACTTCAGGAAGCTCCTGCTCGCCTCTTGAGAAATACTGATACTAAATAGCTGTATGTTTCTTGTTGGAGTTTTTCTTGATCTTTTATATGCCAGGAGAGCTTCAGAACTTTAAATTTTGCTCTTAGTGTGTGTGTGTCATGTGAGGTAGTGACTTTCACAGTGGGGGGAAGGTGTTTCTGATAGTTGACACTTGCTTTCTGTATATGCATTACTGATTTCCTAATGTTCCTTTCCTTCCATCAAGACAGTATCATTAAGCATGCAAATTATGTAGAAAGCAGGATACTTATGATTTACAACAAACCTGTGAAGAGTAGTAAGACCAGTTGCTTGACAGTAATTAGTGAGGAATTAAATGAATGTGCATACACAACAAAAATCCAGAACAGATGTAAGAAAGAAATAACGGAATGAATGAGGTAAATATTTCTCATAGCTTTTATTTTCTTGCTGAAGTAACTTCTCTTTTTTGACATCAGAGATAAAAAGCACAGCAAGTATGTAACGTAATTAGGGAGAAGCTTGGTTCATTGCCTGTTGTACCTAGAAATAATAGTATGTTACAATAATAAATGTTATTTAAAATAAGTGCGCAATAGAAGAAAAATAAAACAACTGGAGAATACTTAACTAGATTCTCCTCATGCTGGCACCACTGCATAAGCAGGCACGAGCAAAACAGATTATTGCTATAATATAACTCCATTTTATTTTATTTTTCTCTTTATTCAAATTAAGCGAAAAATTATCTTGTTATTGAACGATGTATTTGGGGATGATAATTCATTGAGGTGACTCTAATTCATCAACGTGTGCAGTGTCCTCTGTTGAGGCAGGGGCTGTTGAGAAAGGCTTGTATTGGTGGCCAGCCCCATGCTTGCTGGCCCCTGTGGACTGCTGGCTTGTCAAAAGTTGAATAGCAATGATACATGGAAAACATTTATTTTGAGCTGAATGAAGTATTTCAATTCGATGTTGGGAGGTTTATCTTTTCAAAAAGAAATCAAGGGACTGTTGAAGTGCTAGGTCAGTTTGGACAGAGCCATGTTTAATTTGAATTGAGATGCTTAATTTGTCTGTTGTTGAATTTTAGGCATTCAGCTTCTTGTGTATTTTCTCATAGACCTTCATGTTTCTCACACAAATTTTTACTTTTGATGTCGATGAATTATTGTTTTTTTTCCCCCAACAGTTTGTTGAATAATGTTTTTTAGCCCTGATAGTGAGACCTGTGGAGCAGGAATTTCCATCTGATATCAGCAAACAGCTGCTGTATTGAAAGCTGTGCTGAGTGCATAGAAAATGCTGTTACAGAGACAAAGGTGTAACTAAAATAAATAAATTGAAAAAAAAATACTCAGAATGAATTCAGAATCGTGTTAAAATCTGAAATATGATTTAAAATGAGGTAATGAATATTTTTGTAAATAATTAATATTAGTGTCGCATAAGCAGAGGACCTGGTGAGCAGAGGTTCATCCCATGGCATTTTCTGATAGGATAGTCAGCCTAGCAATAGCTTTGACCTACATTCACCAGGGAAGATACATTAATAATGTTTTTGTGCTTTCCTGTTCCTAGAGCTTTGAGCTCTGAATGTTAATTAAGTTGTTCGGTGAAAGACAGTTTTATTAAGAAAGTCACCCTTGAATAGGAAACTTCTTTCTGTCTCTCCCAGTGACACTGACAGGTTGTTTATCTGTTCTCTGGTAAATCATGGTCTTGGTCTTTCTGAAAATGGCAGCAAGATTTGTTGCTCCAGATGCTCTCATTTACTAGAAACTACTGATTTAAAGCATTTTATTGACTACCTCGGGCTTATACCTTGCTTGCTTGTTGAAAAATAAGTTTTTTGGGTTGCTTTCTTCTTATGTAGCAGTTGGGGAGTTTGCATCAAATATGTGCTTTGTTTAATGTTTTTTTGAAGTATTATAAATTCTGCATTAAGAATCTGATATTCTTGTTTTTGGTGGGCTGGATCAATTCTCTGCTGTGTTTTGGAACTGTGAGTGTAGGTCTGTTCTTCTGTAGTTTGAAGCTACAGCCTATAGTTTCTTTACCCCGCTGTCATTTAGTCAATCTAGCAAATGTGGTGTTATATTAATAAGCACTATGCTGCCCATATTAAGTAGATATACTGTGCTAAAAAGAATGGGCAGATGTAGAGTTCTGTGAAATATACCTTCGAAAGGGAGAAAAAAAACAGCAACAGCCCCATTCTCCTGCTCCCCTCTTCTGTCTAAGAAAGGTAACTCAATTATGGTTCTGGCAAAAATGGTTCAAATTGTTTGCTATCACTAAAATTGATGCTTTGAGAATTTTGTTGCTGGATTTTACCTGTCAGGTTCAAGATGGTGTATTTGACCCCATAATAATACTAATAATGCAGTGAGCTTCAGAATGGTGAAGTGGCAATCAGGGCAGGTTGCTGGCCTCTCATCCAAAACCGCTGCACATGTTTGAAAAAGGCCTGAATAGAAGCTGCTAGGCAGCAAGCTGATAATATAGTCACTGAATGAAAGTGCTCTTACTGCAATCCAGTCTACTGACCCTCCTTTCTACCTCTTTCTTTTTAGTGAACTGAATTAGCATTCAAGCAAGAAACTTTCTTGTGTGCGTATGTGGCACTTGGACTTTCCACACGCTGCAAAGTCTTGCATGCTCTCAGAGGTCAATAAAATGTTACCACAGTTTGCATGATGGCCAGAACGGATTTGTCTGCTAGCTGAAAACCTGAAATCTGCGTCAGTAGGCAGACAAGATAGGTCTGTAGTGGAATAGTTTTCAGACTTGTTCAAAGGAAGTGCGTTCTTTAGATATCCTAAAGTATCCTACCTTGCACTAGATCATTTTTAAAGAAATATGAAAATAGAAATTGAATTTAGGTCATAATTATGTGTCACCATTTATAGATTAGATAGCGGATGTTTAGCATTGTTAGTATTAGTGGGCATAAGTACCTCAGTGAGATCCGAACTCTCCTGATTTTGACATTAATTCATAGATATAAAGTGCTCTGAAGCATTCCCTATTATCCTTCTATGATCTTGATTTTTGTGCTTCTCTGCTTATTGCAGCTTATCTTCAGGGCAGGACTTGGACACTTACAAATGCACTTGGAAATTGGTCTTAAGTCAGTATGAATGGTTGATGCTAGGGTTGCATTAACTCAGCAGGCATGAGAGACTGATTCCAGTCCTTTCTTTCCTGAGGTCCTCATGTGTTGATCACTATGAGGCCGGACAGGAATTATCTGCTAGAGTTAGGTAGTCTTTTACTCCAGCCACAGTCAATAGCATCTCTGTTCCCAAACTGTGAAGGAAAACATTGTTTAGTTTCAAGTGCCTTGAAACAGAGAAACCTTTGTTTGGAATCCCTCAGAGGGCTGTTGGCTGAGTTCAGCAGCAGGTAATCTATGCACCACTGAGTATTGTCTGCATCGGAGAACATTTCTTTGCCCTGCAGGACAAGTCAGCAGACAACTAGAAGAGTACTCGCTCAATCTAGCAAAACAAAAGGAGAGTGAATCCTCGTCAGATGACTGATATCTGCATGGGACTTGACACAGAACTCATCAACTCCAAGGAGTTGAGCCTTCAATTGCTTTCACTATGTCTTTGGAGAAGTTTTGTCCAGAGAGAACTAGCACACCAGTGTCATTTATAATGATTTATAACACTACTGTTATAACATATGTAACGTACTATTATTTTTTTATAATAATAGTAAATGGAGTAATCTTTTTGTACTGTCAAAAAAGCTATACTAACGTGAACAAGTTAGCTTTTTAGCACATCCCTAGAAGACTAATAAGTATTTAATTGCTGTTTTGAAAAAGGAGAAGTTGAAGTACAGAGAA